GATCTGTGTTGTTTCATCCTGGATAGCGGCTTTGGCACTCACTAATCCTCAGCCTCCTTCCTTCCGCTTAGTGTACAGTGTCAGGGTGCTGGATTTGGGATGAAACCCTCCGTGCATTGTAAGGAGCTTCACTTGTCTAGATGTCAGTGGCCTCCATCTCCTCCTTTGGCCAGCTTATTATGCCAGCGGGGTACCTGATAACCAGCAGGGCATAGGTGGCCTTTGTTCGTGTACATTCGGCTGACTTCTCAGGACTTGCCTTATTCTCTGCAGGTACTTGGTAGTTGCTGCTTTCCTTGCGGCCTATATATATATATGTTATATATATATATATATATATATATATATGTGTGTGTGTGTGTGTGTGTGTGTGTGTATAGAGTGTCTCATGACACTATGTCCTGCCGTTATCATTTCTTGTTATCATTATGTTACTGTCATCACTGGCTTACTCAGTTTGACTGGCTTGTACGTTCCTTCACGGCAGTCGGCAACAGTAGTCAGATTTAATGTGTTCAAGGACACTGACCACTTACTGATTCTAGGCATTTCAGTTTTATGTAGGCAGGTCTTGGGTGGATAGGTGTGTGTTACATGGGGTTAATATCCATCAAGAGGCCACATACTGTATGTGTGCAGTGGTGATCATCAACTGTGGAACAACAGTGTTTTGCCCTTCCTGAGTCCAGCCAGGCTCCCCTGTGACAAGGCTGAAATGGAAGTATGCTGCAGGTCAGAGTGGGGCTGTAATTATTTCCTCACTTCATTAAGTGCGAGTAAACCATCACACTCAGCACTGCAGCTAATGCAATGCCCCTGTGGCATTGTAATGCTCTCTAAATGAATGCCCCTCTGACAGCCCAGGGCTTAGTGGGCAGCAGATTACTACAGGGTTAGCCTTAGCAATGTTCAACTTCTCAAGCTGCAGAAGCATTTATTATCAGGCTCAAATGACCCAGCTGGTCCTTGCTGCTCTTGTCAGAAACAAAGGCCTCAGAATTGGTTGAATCCTCTGAAGTCTCGTTCAGGCACCACATCACCGGATCATAAATTAAAGGTAAATGCCATTTGAAAGCACTCCACTTTGACAGGTAATGTGCTTTTAATAGCAATGACTATTTGCTCTAAATGGTCACTGCAGGTTGGTCCAGCACCATGATTTCAGGTTTGTTTTTGAGCTGTTTAGCCATTAACTTTTTTTGTGCTTGTGCTTTTTTTCTAGGTGAGACAACTGTTGAGGAGACATATGACAGGATGTTCACAGTCACCAGTCGTGTAAGATTTTCTGTCACCAAAGAGGATGATGGAGTGCCAGTGGACTGCATCATTGACCATCCAGCTGCAAAGGACCTCCTGGCTCAAAGGCACTTGGAAGTGCAATGTAAGTGAACTAGATCTCTCACTTGAGAGCTGTGACATTTGTTGTTATCTTATGCATACTGCAGACACTTCTAAAGATTCACCTGCTATGATCACAGTCACAGTTAAAAACTAATAACATCAGAAAGTTTAGAAAACTTCTGAAAAAAACAAGCTAATAAATCACAGGCAGAATAGATGAGAAACTATGCAACTCACTTCTCAACAAGCAGGCAACACAGACAGCGCCTGCTGACAGGGTCTTTTGACAGTTACTAGAGGCACATTATGCTATTTGGAGAGAGTGGCAGAGTCTTGGTTAATTTGTCATGGTTGATGAGGAGAGCCAGAGTTTGGCTTAACTGACTTATCAGCTGCAAGGAGATGCACACAAGCTAGGTTTGAGCATAAACACTTTTTTTTTCATGCATGCAAGCAATAGTGTTGATTATGTGTGTTAATAGAGTCAAGAATCTATGTGATGTACATCAAAAATTTTAAAAGAATTTCCCTTTTAAAATCATCTTAGTTTTAAAAAAAAACTGGTATATTTTAATTTGGCATATTTTCCAAAAATGTGGCTTTTATGATCCCTGTGTATGAATGGCTTACTGAAGGTCCCCTCATGCACAAGGGATTTCTGATCCAGTGCCTCTATCTGAAATGACTGTAAACATTTTTTGTGGTATAGTCAAACAACTACAAAGAGGCACAAAATGCCCACAAGTGACACAAAACAACTACAGAAAGACACAGAATGATCACAAAGAGATACACATTGATCACAAAGAAGTGAAAATTGACCAGAGATAAACCAAACTTCCACAAAATTGCTTCAAAAGAAAACTCAACACCCACAACGAGATGCCAAGAGACTTCAGAGATGCAAAATGACTACAGAGATGTAAATTGAAACACAAAGGGGGAAAAAACATAAAAGAGATGCAAAATGACCACTTACACAAAAGTGACACAAATCCACCACAGAGGATAACAAAACTACTACAAAGAAAGACAAAATGACTATAAACAGGCACAGACTGACCACAAAGAGACAAAATTACTACAAAGAGAGGCTAAAAAACTACACAGAGATGACCAACAACTACAAATCTCTCTTTTAGCCTGGGTGTCTTCTTCTTGTAAAGGAGAGGTACAGGGTCTTTTATGCGTCAGGGGTTTATTGTGTCATAATCCATCCATGTTCATGGGTCATTCTAAGTCTGTACTCACCACCTCCATTGAAATGTAGAAATTTGGGAAAAACAAAGACTGTATTTAAAGGCCTTAGTGGGTTTAAATGTATCAGTCTCCTGAAACCAGCAGGATATGGTCTGTTGTTCTCTTGACGCCCAGTTGTGATGTAAAGTGGGCTGTAGTCCCACATTATATGACAGCTGCACAAGGTGCATGCTAGCAAGATTATTAGACTAAGTGCAGTTATACTTTAAGATGCTTAGGTAAACTATGTCTCCCATAGACCTTTAGTGCATCCTCTGATCATCAGCTCATAGATGCACTGTATATTTTTCACGGCCTGACACTGTTATCTGTGGATAATGTGATGCGTGCCTTCTAGTCTTACAGCCTTCTGTGCTGGCCCATGGGATACAGTCACCATAAGGGAAAAATAACTTTTACTCAGGTGTCAAATGATGTTTATGTTTAAATTGTGCATTGATTGAAGAGGCAATACAGGCTGCCTTACACCATTAAACATCAAAGAAAGGTTAAGGTACCCTTTTGTACTCTGTGTAGAATATAAATTTTTTTTGCCAGGTAGACAACTGTTTTGTCTGACCTTTCAAGGAAAAAGAGAAAGCTTGACTGGAACCGCTTGACATTTTTGGCTAGCATTGATAAGAGAAACAAAAAAAAAACTTTTTTGCTGTGAGGTACTGGGTGACTACTGAGCACATAGGATAATGATTTCATCCTCCGCTATGTTTCACTCTTGGCTGTTTTGCTTTAATTTAAGAGTCTGTTTCTCCCTGCACTTCACTTTAGAGTATAATCATCATTTAAACTTCTGCCTTGGCTGCAGGTAGGAGAAAAAACACTGTAATGTCAAAACTTATGAGACTGGATTGATTGATTGATTTATTCTTTCAAGCATGTAAAGATAGTCAAAATGTCAACACACATAATTTCACACATATCTACAAATGCTAATCCATTATCAATTTGCTTATACCTAGTACGTGCTTGAACGGAGTAGGAAGAAGTTAGACTTAACCAGTCCTACCCCATAACATCATCTTACCATCATTGGTTTGCAAGCAATATCTCTACTTAGATAATTTTGTTCTACAACACACAAGTAATATACTAAAAAATTATTACAGATTGTTAACATTCTTACATAATTACATTCTTAGATAATTGTCTTCTACACCACACAAGTAATATATTAAAGAATTATACATAGTGTTAACATTCATACACCACACCCACAATGTTAAACCTGTTCTTGCGTATATCTTGATTGACACATACCTTTATATTTATGTTTAAACTCATCAAATCTATTACTATTTTTTATGTCCACACTTAAATTATTCCATAGTTTTACCCCACTTATGGAAATACAAAATCTTTATTTGGTTGTATGTATAGCATGAATTTTTAAATTTAACTGACCCCTTAAATTGTATCCCCCTTCCCTTTCATTAAATAGTTTTTGAATTCCACCAGGTAATAAATTGTTCCTGGCTTTATACAAAAACACAGCAGTCTTATATCCCACTAAATCAAAAAATTTTAACAATTTAGACTGTATGAAAGCTACATTGGTGTGATCCCTATACCCCATCTTATGCACAATTCTTATCGCTCTTTTTTGTAATATATACAATGGTTGAAGTGAGCTTTTGTATGTATTTCCCCAGTTTTCAACGCCATACTCTAAGTATGGTAAAATCAATGAAGAATACAAAATACGTAGTGCTTTCCC